TATTAAAGAAGCCAATACACCAATGACCAAAACGCTTACAGAGAATGAGAATGGCACTGCAGAATTATTCTCTGGACATTAGATACAAGAAAGGCCATCTAATGTTTATTGCAGATGCCCTGAGCAGCTCCTATAGGCTTACGACCGACGATGCTCAACATGATAACAGCGAAAAGCGTGCATTACTAGAAGTGCATCACACGGATGGACTTTCAGTATCACAAAAACGGTTAAAAGAGTTCAGACTGCGCACAGCCCAGGACCCAGAAATGCAGCTTTTAACAAATCAAATACAATAAGGGTGGCCATCAAGCCGTAAAGAATGCCCTAGTCCGTTAATAGCATACCATGAAAGCCGAAGCGAGATAATTGAAGAAAATGGGCTGGTCTTTCATGGCGAACGCTCATTCATTCCACCCTCACTGCACACTGATATGCTGAAAGAAATACACCACTCACATATCAGAATGAACGGATGCTTAAGAAGAGCCAGAGAGTTGCTGCACTGGCCAAGAATCAATGCTGAAGTAAAAGATTTTGTTTCCAAGTGCAGCATTTGTCAATCATTTCAGCCAGAACAGTGTAGTCACTAATTAATCTTGTTAGCAGTGAATTTCATTCATCATAATACTATATAAATTTGGTTTTATGTATTTCAGAGCAAACAAGAGGATTTCTTTGCAAGTTAAACCAGTAACAAACTAACAACAACAACAATTTATTCAGTTATCAAATATCAAATAAATTAAAGGAATTTTTCCACTAAAGCGGGTTAACGTCGAGGTTTTTGAATGAAAAACAATCACACGAGTATAACTTAGTTAAATTAGTTATAAATTAGTCAATTTTGAAGGAAATTTGTGAAAGGTTAATCAAAACAGCCACATTTTCAATAGGCTTATAAAATGTTTTACAGGTAAACTCGTAGGTATGATCAGTCATTTTCACAAACATACTCACCTACTCTCCATCTCGAAAACTGTTATCAATAAAGAGAGTAAAGCTAAATTAAATGGAAGAGGAAAAGCTCTCAACTTAACTATTTGGCGAAGAAACTAAGCTTATGTGCTTAACTTTCATAAACAGTGCTTCTATATTCGGTGCTTTATGAATAAAGTTTCAAACTTTTTTATTATACTTTTCTGTAATTCTTGTCACTAGAATTATGTAGTCAATACAAGCGAAAGCGAAATATGACAAAACTGAAAGTAAATTGCATAGAAACAGGGTTAACTAGCAAAGAGACATGATAATGGGCCCTAAACGTTCGACTGTTAGTTTTACACATAGGCTAAATCCGGTGGGAGTCCAATTTTCCTATATTTTAGGAGGGTGTCCCTTCGTATGTGAAACCAGTTTGAAATATTGCTTGTAGAGACAGTTTACCTGTTCAACATCGCATGCCAACTGTAAAAGGCAAGGAAACACGTGCTCCCACAACTTCTCCATAGGGCTCTATACCAAAGTATGAAAAATAAAGTTAATTGAGCTCACTCGATTAAGGAGATTCCCTTTCAAGCGTCACTGTCTTCCTTTTTGTTTACCTACACCCTCAGGTATCTTGGCGTAGCCTTCATTAACGATGACGAAAGGAAATGCGCGATTATAACGTTAATTTCCATTTTGCAGATAAGCAAAGGTTTTCCTTTTTAAATCACTGTATTCGTTTTAAAAATTGCCTTTCAAATGACAACAACGCACCAATTTTCCTTTACAAATGTATAGTAAAGGTTCAAAGACTTTCAATTAGTTTATTACAAGACACTAATTGGATATCAAACTCTGTGCTGGCCCGATTGTTCAAACATTGCATAGCGCTATCCAACGGATAGATTACTATCCAGCAGGTACGTTGTTGAGGAAACCAACTGCATGATCCACTAGATAAACTGCATTACACCTTTTGAACAACTGGGGCCTGGAAAATAGTAACCATACCGTGTACGCTTTTTTAGATCTTTGTCTTACTTTTCGTTTGGCCGCTTTAAACACACTAATTAAGGGTCATCTTTAAATGTGTTCCAGGCCTGGATATCAAGAAATGTGATAAGCTCCATGGTGGTTATAGTTGATTAAGTTAAATTAATATCCTAATTATAGATCTTCTCACGGCTTTTTTTTTTTCCAACTTTTACTGTGGACATGTTAGGGAAAATCCGTCGACAGCACTTGAAAGAGCGCCTTAAAATTAGCAAAATTGCCAAGTTTGAAAGTGATTTGGTGAAAGCTGGCGACGATATAACTCCTCAAAGTAGCGAAATTTTACAGACGTTTGTATGGTAGGGACACAAACTTCGCCCGCTTAAGACGCATCACTTTTAAACTTTGCAATTTAACTAATTTCAAGGCGCTCTTTCCAGTGGTGTTGACGGGTTTTTCCTCACTGCACAATTTCAAAAGTTGAAAAAGCCGTGGAAGGGTCTTTAAGACCAAGCCTGCATCATTTACATTTAAAAATGTGAATATTGCTGTAAGGAAAATATTGAAATAGTCTACTTCAAATGTTGTTACTTACTTTGTTGCTGCCTTGCGGTTGTGTGACACTTTTTCCAAGCATGTAAAGGACAAGAGAATGAAGTGACTCACAGGCAGCAACCTGTGAGAAAGATATAAAGTAAGTTTATAAATATTACGTCTTGTAATGCAGTCCTGACGTGTTGCGTTTTTACCATGATGCGGCGTAAAAACTTTGTTATGCGATGTGTTTTTATCGTAGTGTGTTTGGTTATTTAGCTATGTTTTGAGTTTTTGTCACGATGTAATGTGGTTACGCTTTTATGTGGTCTGGGATCTTAGTTATGTGGTTTGTTCATTATGTGATGTGCTTTCGTCTTTATGTCAGTTCTTGACCGCACTTCTGGTACTAGGAACTGGTCAAATCGTTTTTAAGAGGCGCCCCAGTTCCTGCTCTTCCGCATTGTCAAAGATAAGCAGGCAACCATTCCGATTTGCTTGCGAAGGAAGAAAACTTCACGGAGAGTACGCTGAAGGACCTCAGACTCGAGTCTCTTATTCCAAAATTTGCTGCCGAAAGAATTGAGCATGAAAATGTATGTCAGTTGTCCGATGACAGCTTGTACGTCTTGGTGTATAACTACGATCGGGGATCGACATTGTATTCCGTACCCTTTGTGCTTCAAAAAAAAAAAAAATCAGTCTATGGCTGCAGCTGCTCTTAGCAAGTAATTCAAGGTCAACTTTCCAGAATTTGGAAAGTACAGTGTGATTGGCTAAGCTAGGGAAGGGAATGTTGCTCTCGGTTGAGCAGGCGTTTGTGGGTAGGCACAAAATACAAGCTCCCCTAAAAACGCTTGCGTTGGAGGCTATCCTTCGACAGAACAAATCACAAGTAAAAAAAAAGTGCATTAACTGTAATAAGGAGGTACTAGAGAAAGACCTTAGGTTTCACGTTATGATGTGTAAAACCAGGGAAGGTGTCCTAAGCTCCGAATCCTAGGATGGTGACACCGTATTTCTGTGTTTGCATCAGAGCTATAAAGAATCCAAGAAAGACAAGAAAACAACATTTCTGTGAACTTTGTGGAAGAAAAGCAGGTAGACTTTGCCTCTGCCCCCCTTCATGTTCCTTGCCTTACTCCAAGCATCCCGGAGGCCTCAACCTCAGGGCAGGCTGAAAATCCATATGCCAGCACCAGGATTTGAGCTGTTCTAGTGGCTGAAACACAAGTACTTACTGTTGATGGAATTGTGGACAGAGTGGTAGAATACTGTTCCCAAAACAACATAAATAACCCAGTTGAAATTTTGAGATGTCTGCAGAAGGAGATTGTTACTGGGCAACCCCATGAAGTGACAGATGTTACTCAGTGTAGCAGTGGGGAGACTAATTTCATATTAGTCGACAGAAACAAGTCACTTGAAACAGCCTTTGATGAGTTGAAGTCCCATAACAATTACCGGGTTAACACTGGAAGTTCAGTTTTACGGTGAGGTAACTAAGTGCATACGAACATTTGGGAAACTTGAAATCCACTTACAGTAATTATAGAGGCGTTCCCTTACATGAGATCCATTTTGTTTTAGCTGTAGGAACAAAACTTTGGGACCACGACTAGTGTGTGCTTAATGAATGCTGTGTCCTCCTAATACAGTTTAAACTGTTCTTACTCTCTTCAGTATCTTTTCTTTGAAGTTCTAGTTGATAAATGTTATGATATAAGTGTAGGTAAAAGTTTACCCCCAATTCTCTTAAACTATTTAAAGAAGAGATAATAGGAAAATAGGAAAAGATATTTTTCCTATTTTATTTTAGACAGCCGCAGATTTTGGTGGTCCCAGAAAAGAGTTTTTTCGAATGGCCCTCTTTGAAATAAAGAAGAAATCCTTTAACCAAGGAATCTGTGAGCATCTCTCAAAAGACTACTTCATGGTTGGGCTAATCATACGTAGGGGACCTTGTGTTGCCAAAGTTTTATTCTACTGCAAGTTGATAATAACTATTATGTTGCTAGTTTGCTCCTTCATGACATCTTAGATATTTTGTTTCACATAACTCCTAAAATAAAAATTTGTTTATGACTGTAAGGCTAGGACAGTATTAGCAACTACACGTAGGCAGCTCTTAATAACAAACAATGGCCAAGTCAGGTTTAGACAAATTTATTACATGCAATGTACAGAATGAGGCAAAGTTATGGTCTCTATGCGATAATTTCTAACCTCATCTATGTATTGGCTTTTTACTTGAGGTTGCCTAGCAGCGAAAGTCATAATCTGCGAGCCGTTTTTCTTCTACGCATTTAGGACACAAAAGGGAGGTTGGGCTCCCAGGCGTTCCTAGCAGCGACCATGGAAACTGGGAATAAGAATCGTCACGACGTTCATTGTACGCCAGTGAGACTCGTCATAAGCATGTGATATATTTTCGGCAATGATTGAGGTGATGCGCGTAGTTGATCACGTTCGGGCTTTTTGGCTGAATGCTATCCAAGGTAAACAAGAAAAAAGATATTTTAGGTGCAACAACAGTGGTCATGCATATGCAAGATGATAAGAAGTGTCCTGCTAGGAACAAGGAATGCCTAAAGTGCCACAAGCTAGGCCATTTTGCTTAATGTTGTGAGACGAAGGAGACTAAAAACCCCAGAAGAAGCGGCCTAGTAAACCAAAGGGACATAAGGGCACTGTTAACCAAATGAACTTTGAGGATTATTCATATGACGGAAATGAATATCCATTTACCATCGTTGATGAGAAACAGCCTATAGTTTCAGTGAGTTTTGGAGGTGTTGACTCTGGTGCAAGTTGTAATGTAATTGACCGTCAATTGTGGGAATCACTAAAACAAAATAAAGTGAAATGTGTTTCTTTGAGTCACAAGAAACAGCAGTATCCCTATGGCAGCAAGGAACCATTAAAACGGCTGGTTGTTTCACGGCCAAAATAACAGTTGGAAGATGTTGCGGTTGAAGCAGAGTTTACTGTAATTGAGGGTAAGGGCCAGGCATTGCTAGGAAGAGACGCATTGCTAAGAAGTCTCAGTCCAAACGTTTGTGTTAACTCTTTGCAAGAAAAAACTTATTTCAAAAATACAAGTCACGTTTTGAGGGCCTGGGAAAGTTCAAAGATTCCCCGCTGAACATTCCTATTGATCCGCGTGTCAAACCAGTAGTTCAGTCTATGTGTCGTGTACCCTTTAGTCTAAGGGATAAGTTGGAAAAAAGCTTGAAGAGCTAGTAGACCTTGATGTAATTGAGAAGGCAGATGGACTAACCCCTTGGATTTCAGCTGTAGTTGTTGTTCGTAAACCCAATGGTAACCCACGTCTGTTGATATGAGGCAAGCAAACAGTGCAATAGTCAGAGAGCGACACCCTATTTCCACAGTTGATAAAATTCTGCATGGTCTTAATGGGAGCACAGTCTTTGCTACGTTAGACATAAAGTGGGCTTTTCACCAAGTTGAGTTGAGACAAAAATCAAGACCGATCACCACGTTTGTCACCCATAATGGACTCTTCCGGAAAAAGACATTGATGTTTGGGATCAGCAGTACCCCTGAAATGTATCCGCGAGTGATGCAACAAGCGTTACAAGGCTGTGAAAGTGTGAGAAACATACATGGTGACGGTTTAACACTAAACAAGGAAAAGCACAAGTTCCACATGTCTGAGATTGAGTTTACGGGACATCTGCTTTCCACCCGAGGTATTAGGCCTACCCAAGCAAAGGGTGAGGCAGTCACAGAAGCACGTAAGCCAGAATCGGTAGTAGAAGTGAGCAGATTCTTGGGTCTTGTAAATTTCTGTGCCAGGTTCATCCCCGATCTGCCTACAGTGTCTGAGCCTTTAAGGAGACTCACCAGAAAAGATGTACCGTGTCAGTGGGGCAAGGAACAAGACAAGGCATTCAATGAGTTAAAGAAGAGGCTAGCAAATACAGAAACCCTGGGCTATTTCGACAAGGATGCAGAAACCTGCCTCATAACCGATGCCAGCCCTGTAGGCCTTGGTGCAGTCTTGACGCTATTCACAGACTGAAAGAGAACCTCTGGGTATTGTATTGGCATGTGAGCGACTACACATGTACTTGTATGGAACAGACTTTGAAATCCTAACAGGTCACAAACCTCTGGAATTTACCGTTTACTCAAGGAAATCACACCCAAGTGCAAGAGTCAATCGGTGGGTGTTACGATTGCAGCCATACCGTTTTACAGTGAGACACATCCCAGGAAAAGAAAACAGTGCAGATACTTTACCTCGTCTCACAGATCAGCACACCAAATCATGCACGAAACTGTGCATCGAACCCTGAAGAGTATGTGAGGTTTGTCGCTGAAAACGCAACACCGTGCGCCCTATCCACTCGAGTGATTGAACGTGTCTCAGCTGTTTCTCACTCATGGTATGCCAGTGAGTATCACCACCGATAACGGGACACAGTTCAAAAGCCAGGAGTTTAAGAGGTTTGTAAAAGATGAATGTATCGAAGGGTAACCCCGCTCTGGCCTTAGGCCAATGGTGAAGTTGAAAGACAAAATCGATTCCTACTTAAGAGAATCAAGACTGCACAAATTAAGAAGAAAGATTGGAGGAAAGAGACTGAATCCTTTCTTGTCATGCACAAAACAACTCCACACAGCACAACTGGTGTAAGCCCCACAGAACTCAGGTTCTGAAGGAAGTTGAGGATCCGGATTCCAGGAATCAAAGAATTTCAAGTGGACGACCAGGAAGTACGAGACAGAGAAAAGGAAGCCAAAGAAAGAGGAAAGCTGTATGCTGATGACAAACATGGCCCTTGTGAAAGTGGCTCCTGCTGAATGTATCTCAGAACCTGGTCCAAGTTTAGTACAATATCCCGCAAGGGCCAAAGCTACACCAATCCGGTTTAAAGACTTTGTTATGTATTAGATTACTGACAGAGACGCTCGTTTTTTTCAACTTTGAGAGATTAATGATTTTTATCTTTCAGTTTGTATGCAAAGAACATTGAAGTGGTTGGGCACTTTTCCATTTTCTATATCTCACGTTTGGAATTGGTTAAAGATAGTCTTTAAAAAAAACCTTGAGGAACGTTTTTAGTTATAAGTTTAAGCTCTTAAATGGGGTTAATGGGCCCTAAGGGAGTACTAGTTCGTTCCTCACTTGTCCCTAGTGTACTCTACTCTCCTCACCCTTGCAATCAAGGCTTGTGCAGTAGTCAATAGCTCATTGTTTAGCTCAAAGTACTTTTACTTCTACAGTGTTAAAGTGGTTGCCAAAGCTTCCAGTAATTTTCCACAATATCACATGATTCTCACCTGTCTCGCCTTATACGATTAGTCACCCACATTTCAGCTTTGTTCTTCAAGCAAGTGCTTACTCGCACTCGTTAAGATTGTATTTAAGTGATTTTCAAGTTCGCATAAAATATGTTTAAATAAGCTTTTGTTCCAAAGAGGGGAAGGATTGTAGTGTATTACCGCGGTATTGGCCATTAGAGCATGCACAGTAGATTGTAAGCAGGGGCTAGTTGGCGGCCATTAAAAGCGTGTCCTTGTTCAATCTGTGTGTGTGTTTAACTGGCTAAATCAGTGCTTACTTGGTCCATCTGGGCGGGATACCACAGCTAAGAAAATTGGTTATTATATATAGTTTTAGGACTAGAAAATGTAAATGTAAGTTCACATTTTGTTTTCTAGATATTGAATAATGTAGGGTACTAAATTTTGTTTATTGAGGCTGTGCTATATTATTACATTCATTGCTGTTAATACATGTAGGTACATCATTTTGAATATCAGTACTTCTAGTTGGCACACTATCACTCTTCAGAGTTCCAGAGCTCTCTTGTTGTGATGACTCAATTGCTATGTTGGGTTTGAAACATGAACAGAATAATAATGCAGGATAAGTGTACATGTGGTTAAAGCAAACAGTCTTGACTAGCATAATTATGGTGATTAATTATGTTGCAGCTAAAGGGCCACTCCAAACCTAGTTAGGCTGAACTGTCAATACCAACCCTGAAATAATTATAACAACCTGTTTAGCTTGACTTCTAAAAATCTAGGTTCTTATATGTTTGCATTTACTGCAATAGTTACTTGTATGAATTACGAAGCTGTTTAACACAAAAATACTACAATGTTACTTTAGGTGGTAGAAGAGGCGCTATTAGTATAACACTGGACCATGTGTTGCAGTTTGTAACCGGAACGGATGAAGAACCTGTGCTGGGGTTTGAGCTGCTTCTGTCACTTAACTTTACAGAAGTGTCAAACTCGTTTGTTTCTACGGCCTGCTGGTAATGCCTGCAAAGTTGACTTGGGTCCTACTTCGCAGGTACTCCGGGTGAAAAGACTTATAAAGAGCCAGGGCGATGTCACAGTTAGTGGCATATGAGAACCAGACTTAATGATCCAAAGTGTTCAGTAGCGTTGTATTTGTTGCTGTTGTTGAATAGTTACATTGTGTAGTTCCAGAAAATATCCATATCCCCCACGGAGGGCACTTGTACTTTAGACCCCCCAACCCCCTGGAATTTCCATTCCAGGGGGTGCTTGTCATACCCCGCCCCCTCAGGAGTTTCTGTAATTTTTCAACTCGATTAGGTACCTTCTGGAGAGAATATTTTCCGTCATAAACGCTGTTGTACTATATTATTACTCGAAAGATTTCTTTCTGTGACAAAATAAGAAAAAATCTCTTTATTCATGTTAATACAGTGTTTAATATCTCAAGGACTTTCTTAGCTAATAATTAACCATGGAGGCGATACCTTACACTATTGACTGCACAAAAAATAATGCCATCTGCAAAAAAAAACAGTTACATTCAAACTAAACACCATGTGAACTTTCAGTTAGAACATGTTACAAGAAGGCTTCGAACACGACCAAATTACGGTGAATCAAACGTGTGATAAAGCAACAGCTAGATAACTGCAAACAATAATCCTTGTTTTGAAACAAAGGTTAACAGTAAAATAACTGATAACTTGCTCAGCAGAAAAGTTGTTATTCAACATATAGATTTATCCAGGGCTTAAAGCGAAGCTCTCTTAAATATTTATAGTTTCCTCAAAGAAAATATAAAATCGAGTAATACTAAAGAACTTAAAGACTAGGTAAAAACAACAAGAACGGTAAGAAACAACAGCATTAGACCTAATTAGCAAAAAACAACTTTGCACGTGCAGCACACTTTTTTGTACATTTCCCTGTCGCTGTTTTGCACAACTAAAACGTAAGACTACTTTTAACTTCCTATTTACACGTTTTATGGAGGAAATGTTTGTGTTCCTGTTCACTCTGTTTTTTTTTCAATGCTCTTCATTTTCTCACCGCCGCTATATAATTTCATGTTTTTCTTCCAACGAAATTGGTCCCCATTGTTGTTTACTTCTCGCTCTAGCTCTTTCCCTGTTATCCAAGTCAATGTAGACATTAATATTTAGTGGAAAGAAGGACAAGTTTTTGTAGTTGTTTTTTTCTCCCTAAAAGTCTGGGCGGCCATGTAATTTACCGCCAAAACGAGCGGGGTGCTTGTATTGCAAAATTTCACCTCAACTTTAACATACTCCTTCTCCGACGGGCTGACTTCTGACTCCCTTTCCCCTCCTCCAGGGTCTGTGCGCTCAGCGTTCGGTCGTATGCTGACATCATAACCAAATTTTCTTAGCTACAGGGCTCCGCACGCGCGCGCGTGGAGCTCCGCTATTAATAACTCACCAATCTTACACAAACCCCCGGAAAAAAACCTTGGGAAGCAACCCTCACCCTCTCAGAAATTGCCTCCTTGTATTTGCTTAAATAGTTGGGCCAATTTGTTTGTTGTTGAGTTCTGAAACTATCTAACTGAAAAATAAAAATTCTAAAAAACTTTAATTTTGTCTTGCTATCCATGATAAAATTCATTTGATATACTCTTTTTAGTTTCACAGCAACCCTAACCCGAATTAC